GAGATCCCCTTTTGATTAGTCCCCACATAGATTGAGAGTGCCTGGTGGTACTGGGCCAGGGCTGTCTTCCTACCCCCCAGACTAGGGCTCCGAGAGGGAAGGGCCCATCTGCGGGTGACCCCATTAGCTCCTGTCTACCTCCCTCTTCCCCCTCCTGCTAAGCGATGGTCATTCTCTGTGTCCTTTCCCTTTTACTGTCCTGCTTTCTTTGGGCCCTCCTCCCTCTTGGTTTTTATCATATACCTTTCTCCATCTGTCCTTCACTCATTCATTTCGCAAACACTGGGTGTCTGCTGTGTGCTGGGGATATAGAAATATTTAAGACACGCTCCTGGTGGAGCTCATAGTCGACTGGGGGAGATAGATGTATAAAAAGACAAGCACAGTCTGGTGTGGTAAGTGCTGGGGCAGCAGCATAAAAGAAGGGACAAGGGACCACAGAGGAGGGACTGACCAGCTAGCTCTGCGGGTTGGGAGGTGGGAACCATGGAAGGCTTCACAGAGGAGGTGACCTTTGAACTGGGGCTTATAAGATAACCAGGAATTCCCCAGGTAGATAAGCATGGGAAGGAATTCCAGGTACAGCGAACATGCAAGTGTGAAAGGTTTCTGTGGTGAGGAAGCAAAGGGATCCAGCAGAGCTGCAGGGTGTCTCCAAAGGGAAGCAGGAAGGTCAGAAAGGCCAGCTGAAGAGGTGAGAGGGAAATAAAGAAGGAACTTAGCAGGAGAGAGGCCGGGTCAGATCTGGGTCCCAGATAGCTCCATTGGCCGTGTGGAGAGGGCCAGGTACGTGAGGGCAAGGCTGGGGCAGATTTAGTTAGAAAGCCGATGCCAGCATCCAGGAAAAAATGATGGTGGCCTGAGCTTGCGTGGTGCAGTGGGAATGGAGAGAGCAGATGGTATTGTGGGTTTAAGTAGTGATAAGGCTCTGGGGCCTTGGGAATTGATTGGGCAGTGGGGAAAAGAATGAGTGGAGGACTCTGGCTCGGGTCACTATGGAGGATGAAGCCTTTCAGGGATACTGAGGGCTCAGAATCAAGCAGGTTGGATGTGCCTTGGTGGCATGGCCAAGGTGTCAGGGTTAGAGGTGTAAGTGTAGGAGTGTCAGCCTGGGGAAGGCATCCAGAGCAGAGCTCATGCGTCAGGTGTCCCAGGAGGCCTAGTCCGTGAGGTCAGTGGGAGGCGGCTTGGCTTCATCTCTGGGTTCCCTACTCACTGCCTTTCTCTCCCTCTCCTACCCTCTCTGTGTCTCCCCTTTCTTGATGGGCCTGGCTTCCCTCTTGACACCTCCTAGTAGTAGCTGCCCATCCCTGCCCTCTTGGCAGGCCTCATACCAGGCTCACGGTATGATAAGCTCAGTAAGTATTTGCAGAAGGAATGAAGGAATGGACAGATGGCCTGAGTTCCCTCACTGGCCAGTGATGCTAGAGAGCAGAGCAGACACTTGCCGTGTCCTCTGGATAGGCATCCTGCCTTGGGACCAGGCTCAGCAGGGTGAAAGGGCCTTATCTGAAGAGTTTTCCAACCTTTAACGTCCAAAATACTGGGCCTCCTCTGCTCCATTCCTCTCATGACAATAATGACTTTTTTTTTTTTTTTTTTTGCGGTTTTGATTGAAAAAATAAATATGGATTTGAGGACTCCTGATATATTTAACTCCACAGACTTCATGGGGGTATAGTTCACAGCCCACAGGGTAGGAGCACCTCAGCCCAGGAAGTCTGTGCAGGAATGGACAGAGGCTGCCAGCAGGGTTGGAGGACCAGTGTCCTTCCCCAGTCTCCAGCTCTCTGCTCTTGAAGCCTCCTTCCTGGCCCTCTGGGTGGCGACCAGTCCCTGGGTGCCCCACCCCTTGCCTGGTTCTGCTGGTAAATGCTCCATGATCACTTGGCCCCAGACCTTTTCATCTGGCATTGCTCTCATTTCTTCATTTTTGCTCAGCTAAACAAACAAATGCTATAGGGGAGAAGACTAATTAGTAGAAAGTCTGAATTGAAGGTAATTTTGAAAGCAGTGTATTTCAGCCACAGCAGGGTCTCTCAGCCAGGAGGGACTGCTCTAATGAATGGATATGAAGGACTGTCTGATAACCATCCTTCTAATCACAAGGAATTGCTTTTAGCTTAAAGATATTCGAGAGTCGTGTGTTCTCAAGTGACTCTTGTTTATTACTGTTACTTTTTTCACAGAGATACTGTTATTCTCATCGTCTGTGGCTCCTCTAGCCTGCACTCATTACCTTGCTTGCACTGTCTTCTCCCAGCCATTCCTCAGACATGTCGTGAGTTTCTGCTGCACGCTGGTGTTCAGGCTCAGGGGGTTCAGTGATGGAGGAGGCAGAGTCCCTGATGTCCTGGAGCCCCTGGAGATGGACAGTTAGGGCTCAGCGACCACAGGACAGGTGCGATCAGAGTGCTGTGAGTTGCCCCGTAGGGGCTCCTCCACAGGCTGTGGGAGGACCAAGGGAAGGTTCTCCACTGTGAGAAAGTCATATTTGGACCTACGGACGAGTGGTTTGGAATCCATGCAAAGGCATGATTCTCCATGCCGGGTTAGATTATGGGATCCATGCAAGATTATAGTCCTGCTGTTGGTAAGGCTCAGCTTCCTTTTCTTTAGGAGCCTTTCATAACTCTTTTATTCCACAGGGATCTATGTGTCTTCTGAGCTCCCGCAGCCCTGACAACTCAAATCACCCTCTCCAGTGTCTGAGGGACAGGTTCCCTGCCTCTGAAACCATGGGCCACGCTCCTTCTCCTCTTTGGGGTACTGTTTTATCCCCTGGTCTCCAGGCTGGAGGGCTTGTTCCTTAGAGTCGAGCCCATGCCCTTCTCATCCATGGTGAACCAGGGGCTCATGGGCCGCAGAGCTCATGTTCTCCAAGGGCTCAGTGGTTTGACTTGTACGTGCTCTGTCGTAGGGGCCTCTCCTACCAAAGCACTCAAACCAAGTGAGGAGCAGAGACATGGAAGAGATGGTTGGAATCTACCACACAAAAATTAAACGCACATACAGAAACAATACCAGACAAAACTAAAGGGCAAATGACGAACTGAGGAAAATATTTACAAAAGTGATAAACCAAGGATTAATATTCTCAATAAAAAATTTATACAAATCAATGAGTAAAACGTGAAGATCCTTGTAGACAATTCACAGATGACATTTCAATGGTCAATATATATTTTGGGAAAAATGTTCAACCTGCCATTAAGTAGAAATGGAAATGAAAGCAGTATATTCTCACCTATCAAATCTGCAAAGGCGAGAAAAAGATAATACCCAGTATAGGGCTTGGATGGGAGGGTATAGGCACCCTCATGCAGTGCTGAGGCCGTGTCAACTGGTATAGCATCTGGAAAGCATTTTGGAAGTGGGTCTAAAGAGCTTGAGAAATGTTTGTTCTCAATCCACTAATTTCACTTCTGAGAATTTATTTTAGGAATGGACAGTGACATGGAGAATTTCTCATGAAATCATGTTAAGCAACAAAAATAGGGGATACCAATTATATGATCTATAATCCCACTCACATAAATTATATATTTGCATAAATATATATTTAGGTCACTTGGGAATTTTTTTCTTATGGATGATTTTGATCATATTTATATATTTTATATTTCTCATTTTTCCTATAATAAGGAGGGGGGGGAAACCTCTGTGAAATGTGAGATGATGGAACCAAATAAATCCAGAAATTAACTTTGGGAATCAAAAGGTCAAATCACTAGTACATCAAATCAAAGCGACATTCTGTCACTTTGCAAGATACAGGAAATATATGTTGATGTGTATATCAAATTTTTCTGTAAGGTTGAGGCAGAGATTACCAGGTCACATGGCTGTGGCTGGGCTGATTTTGTGGGCGGGGTCACCTGGCTCTTCATGGTGTGATGTTGGGTACATCTTGTCCCCTGGGGTTTCAGTTTCCTACTCTTTCCAGTGGTATGGCGGGAGAGGGTCAGACTAAACTCTGAGGGTCCTGGCAGATCTCTGCTGAGTCTGTCACTGTTCTTGAAGAAGAGAACTTTGACCTGCCAAGTCACCGAGCTGAGAGCGACTGAGTGCTAGGATCTGCAGGCTCCAGGTTCCGGCTCATCTGCTGAGAGAGCACTGCACAGGAACTTGTTACCTATTCCGGTCGCCGCGCTGCCCTGCCTTGGCTCTACTTCTTGGCCACCCCCTTTTCCTGTCAGCCCCTGGACCCACTAAGCTGGGGGCTAGTTTGCTCAGGCTTTATTGATTTCCAGCCTATCTTCCCTGGAGGGGCAGAAAGGAGGAAACCCTATTGTTTGGAGCTGTTAAGGGGAGGCGTGAACTCCAAGGCCATTGTGGAGCCCCTGGGCCTAGGACTGGAGTGTCCCCTCCCTCCTGGACCCTCTTTCTGGGACATTTTTGAGATGTTTGGCTCTCAGGCTGAGCTACCCCGACTGTCCAAAGGTGACACATGGCAACTTCCTGGTATATGGGGCAGCCCCTCCCATCTCGGCCCACACACACCACCTGTGGGCTGACTGGAGTCCACTCCCACACCATCAGCTGCATCAGCTACTCAACTTTTATAAGGACTTCTGTGCTCAACGTCCTTGCCCAGAACCTGATAGTTTACGGTAATGCTAGGCATTACCTAGGCATCTCGGAAACTTACTTTCAGCTGCAAGCAAGTCTCGGAGTCCTCCCTCCCAATATGCCTTCTAAAGGGTGGGGCTCAAGGCTTTAACTCTGCTTGGTGCTGGATGAGGTAGATTGATTTTCTTCCGCCCAGGCATAAACTGAACTTCAGGCTTCTAGGAAAGACAGCTTATGAGACTCCCGCCTCTGTCAGCTGCTCCCGAACCCCTGCCTGGGCTGCTGCCTCCCGACTGCGATGTCTTCGGCCTCCCCCTGAAAAGTGGTGGGCAGAGGCAGCTGTCCTGGGTATGGTGGAGCTGGTAGGGCAAGGCGTCCCCGTGATCCACCCTTCCTGATGTGGGCCCGTTTCTTCTTACAACCAACAGATGCATGGAAAGACGGCTTCTCTGAAGAGTCCTGTGTCCCGCACAGAGAAACTAGACAGGGTTCAGGCACCGCCGGACTCCAGGTGAGCCCTCGCCAAGTCAAATTATATATACGGACTGGGGGTGGGAAGCCCTCGGAATGTGACCTGTTAGAAAGGGGACCTTAAGGCAGAGTCGGGGTGTTAGGTGAATCACAGGTTGCCCAGGGGCCTCTCTCTCCCACTCCGAGG